TAAAACATTAAAAAAAAAAAAGTGAGCTGGGGTGTTCAAAGACCAGAAGCGGGCTGAGATACAGCTGGGGAGCCCGACAGGGCAGCAAACAGTGTGAGGGCCACAGAGCCACTTACTTCAAAGTCCTGGTACTGCTCCTCAGCCAGAGATTTCTTCGCCACCACGAGCACGCGCAGCCCTTCTCGTGCCATGTTACCACACTGCAAAGCAGATCACAGTCAGCAGGACCACACCCAGGCCTCTGCCTGGAGCCCCCAGCTCTCCTGGGGACAGGGAAAATGGCTCTTCCCAAAAGCAGCCTCCCCTAGAAGTAAGCCCTCTAAAGGGGAGGGTGCAAACTGGAAGAGGCCCGCCTACAAGCCAGGTGCCTCCAGAGGCAGATTACCTCTGGCCAGCCCAGCACATGTCTCAATAATGAATTATTGTTGTCAGGTGCCATCGAGTTGGTACCAACTCATAGTGACCTTATGCCTGATCCTGGGTCAACCTCACAAATGTTGCCACACTTTAGCCCACTTACACTGCCACTTGGCCAATCCATCTCGCTGGGGGTCTTCCTCTTTTTCTCTGACACTCCACCTTACCAAACATGATATGCTTCTCTAGCAACTGGACCCTTCTGACAATCTGTCTAAAGTATGAGAGATGACGTTTGGCCATCCTGGCCTCCAAGGAGCACTCTGGCTGCACTTCTTCCAACACAGATCTGTTGATTCTTTCTCCTCCAACACCATAACTAAAAAGCATCAATTCTTCTATGGTCTTCCTTTCTATGGTCCAGCTTTCGCATGCATATGAGGCTACTGAAAATACCATGGCTTGGGTCAGGTGCACCTTAGTCTTCAAGCTGACATCTTTGATCTTCAACACTTTAAAAAGGTCTTGGGCAGCACACATTTGCCTAATGCAATACCTTGTCTGATTTCCTGACTGTTACTTCAATGTTGACAGTTGATCCAAGAAGAACGAAGTCCTTGACAACTTCAATCTTTTCTCTATTGATAAGAATGTTGTTTATTGGTCTAGTGGTGAGGATTTTTGTTTTCTTTACATTGAGATGCAATCCTTACTGAAGACTGTGGTCTTTGATCTTCATCAGTAAATATTTTAAGTCCTCTTCACTTTCAGCAAGCAAGGTTGTATCATCTGCATATCGCAGGTTGTTAATGCTTCAGGAGATGACATATAAATGATTCAAGAGATGACATAAAAGCCTGGACTTCTGTCTCTGCTAGAAACACACACACATCTGACGACACCAGGCGCATGTTCCCAAATAGCAGCCGCATCCATGGCTGAGAAGTGTCTGCGTTGCTGTGTTTCCGGAACACAGTGTCAAGTGAAGAATATACCAATACGCTTACTAGGCCTAATGTGATGTGGTCAGGAGAACATGTCTGGACCAGTTTCATTCATTCATAATACCTGCCTGGCAAGCCCCAACTCAAAACACTTTCAGTGAAAGTATCATGAGGACTCCCCACCTGGGGCTGACGCATAAGATATGAAAGGGGCCCCTGACCAAGTCTCTGTGTCTGAGGCTGTGGTAACCTGCTTCTGACCTCTGCTCCTGGATGTTACTCTCTCCTGGCGTGTGCACCAGGCCCAGTGACTCATTCATAACAGAGAGGATGTGGCAAAATGAGGGACTGTCACTTGTGAGATTACGGGAGACTTTGCCTTCTGGCTTGCTCACCCTCCCCTGCTCCCTCACTGAACTCACTCTGACAAAGCAAACTCATGCTGTGAGCTGCCTCAGGGAGGGGCCCACATGGCGAGGAACTGACGGTGACCTCCAGCCAACACCTGCGAGGACTTGAGAGGTGCTCAGTCCAGTAGTCCTGAGGAACTGACTTCTGCTAACCACATGAGTGATCTTGGACATCCTGCCAGAGGAGCCTCAAGTTGACTCTGGTTCCAATCACCAGTTTCATTCTTGCAAGCCACTAGGTTTTGGTGTGATTTGTTGCAGTCCTACATATAACTAAGGGTCCCAACTCACTACACCCCATCTTCTGAACAGACTCCGGTGCCCTGGTAATCTTACCTCTTCCTCCAGCCAGTCACTGTACTGCACGATTCCAGCCATGGCAACATCCGCCCCCTTCATGTAAAACGTGATTTCTCCAGTTGATTCATCCTAGTGAAGGAGGCGGGGTGGACAGGAAGGAATGAATAGCCAAAAGGGACACTCTCTTTCTGCTCCAATGCCCACTTCCCACGACGGAAGGTGTACAAAGTATACTTCACAGACTCAAATGTGTTTTCACTTGGCTGAAGATAAAAAGTCAGAAGGGGCCTCACTTTGGGGCACAGGCCATAGAAAACAACAAAATGCAAAGTGTTTGGAAAATCCTTGGATGATAACAGCAAGATCAAAAGGATGTAAGAACTTTGTTTGTAGAGTTATTTCTATCCCAACAAGAATGGGTTCCCATGTTTCAAGATCATTTAAGATTTTATGTCGGATGACCCGAAAACTGTGGTCCACCAAACGAGAAGGGAAGTCAGAGAACAAAAGTTTCTCGGCTCCTGGGGTTGGGCCAGTCTTTGCTGTGAGGACCACCCTGTGCATTGTGGGATATTTGGCAGCATCAGAGGCCTCATCCACCAGATGCTAGTAGCATACTCACACAGCTGTGATAACTAAAGATGTCTCTGTTGTTGTTAAAGTGCCGTTGAGTCTGTTCCAACTCTCAACGGCCCTGCTTAGGCTTTGAACCGCTACTTGGTGGTCTAGTACTTTATCCTACAGTGCCACACCAGCTGAGTGCTTAACCCAAATGTCCCCTATGGAATAAACTGCCTCTGCTGAGAACTGCTGGTCTAGACCATTCAAAACCTATGTGTATTTGAGGATTTGACTAGAGATCAGATTACCCAGACTTTCAGTTCACCCCAACTAGATTTGTGTGCAGCGGGCATAACTATTGCATAGGGTTTACACGTTAGGCCTGAGCACCAGCTCCCGGCTAAGTTACTTCTTTTCTCTACACCTCAGTTTCCTCAGCAGTGAAATGGGGATGCTAACAATTACAACCACACAGGCTGCTATGGTTTCTACTATGCCATCCACAGACAGAATTCAGCACAATGCCAGACACACAGACAGTATGTTATCATTACTGCTAGAAGACAGCAGCTTCCCAGGTCCCTCAGTCACCTCGTATGTGAAGAGAGAAACTTAAGACAGTGGTTCTAACCCCAGGGGACATACGGTGATATCTGGTGACACAGCTAAGAGTCCTTGGTGGCACAGTAGTTAAGCGCTCAGCTGCTAACTAAAAGGTCAATGGTCTGAACCCATAAGCTGCTCAGCAGAAGAAAAATGAGGCAGTCTGCTTCGGCAAAGACGTGCGCAGCCTTGGAGACCCTATGGGGAAGTTCTACTCTGTCCTGTACGATCGCTAAGGACTGGAATCAACACCAAAGCATTGAGTTTTTGCTTGCAGACGCATTTGGTTGTCACAGCTGGGGGAAACCATGCTACTGACATCTAGTGGGTGGAGGGCAGGGATGCTGCTAGATAGATGTCCACAATGCACTGGGGAGGACAATGGTTGGTTGATTTGTGATGTGTCAAGGAGTTGGTTCTGACTCATAGCGACCCTGTGTACAGTTACCGAGGCTGTTAATCTTTACAGGAGCAGAAAGCCTCATCTTTTCTCTCGCAGAACAGCTGGTAGTTTTGAAATGCTGACCTTGAGGTTAGCAGCCTAACTCATAAACACGACCCTAAAGGTCAGCATGGCACGGTCAAGAGCCTGGGCTGGGAGGCGCAGTAGTGGGAATCTGTGAAGCCGGACGCTGGAGCTGTGGGGACAGAGCTGGGCAGTTATCACCACCACTTGTGCCTACATATGTCTACTCTGGGCAGCTCATGAAAAAGAAGAAAAACACCCAACACCTCAGTGCTGTTGTTGTTAAATGCCTTCGAGTCGGTTCTGACTCATAGCGACCCTGTATAGGGTTTCCAAGGATGAGTTGATGAGCTCGAACCACCAACCTTGTGATTCACACCGACTCTATATAGTCCAGCGCATTAACCCGCAGCACCACACCCCCGGTTTTACAGTAACTTCTGAATGCTCTCAAATCACTGACAAGCCTTTAGAACATCAGTGTGTGTATTCATGGAAGCCCCCAGGCAGGGAAGAGGCACCTGCAGTTTGTTAAACCACATAGTTTGTCTATGATGGATTGCTCCGTTGTTGGCTGTGGTACAGGCCAACGAGAGCTGTAAAGTCTGAACATGAAAGTTTTGGCGTTTTCCCGTTTCCCCTTCATTCAGACAGCATTTAACAACATGGCTGTAAGAAACACCACCACCACTACCCCCACCTCTACCCCCACCCAGCTTCCTTTCCTATACAAGAGGAAGAGAGAGTTTAGACATTTTGTCCAATATAAATACCGTATCAACTGTCTCCTCCCATTAGTCACTTCCTCCCACCAAGTTCATCACAAGGTTACCTCGTTCCCATATCATGGCAAGATGATGCTATAAATTTATAGAGTGTGTGGATGGCTGTGTTGCGCGTTAAACGGGTTCATCATTTTCCACCGAGGTCGGACTCTGGCACCTTGTTCAAAGGCCCCTTTGACTCAAACAATGACAGTGGTAATGATCTAGACCAACGACCCGACTTGATCATTCCACGTAGGAAGGGGTGGAGGGAAGACAGTGGAACAGCTTACACACCACAAAAACAAAAGAGAAGACACCACCTCCCATCAAAAACAGTAAGACATGGCCAAAGACACCGCCTTTGCTAAGCTTAGCCTCCTTCCCAGCAAGCAAAATCCCATGCAGAGAAAAGACCTCACATCTTATGGGGTAAGAAGCAGCTGCCAGCTCTACCACGCTGGAGGTTCACCTGTGTTTAAAAGGTTGGATGAAACAGACAGGCAAAAGCAAATACAAAAAATAAATAAATAGTAAATAAAAATAAACACCAAAAAAGCAAATCCACCAGCTGTCATCAGCCACTAAACCAAACCCATTGCTGTTCTAAAGTGCCATCAAGTCGGTTCCAACTCTATGTAGGCTATCTATCCGAGGCTATGAATCTTTGTGGAAGAAGATTCATCTTCCTCTAGCAGAGAAAGCCTCATCTTTATCCCGTGGAGAGATGGATGGGCTCGAACCACCAACCTTGTGGTTCTCAGTGCAGTGCTTATCCTACAGAACCACTGAACTCCCAGACCAAACCTAGAGGAGGCTTACACCTGAGTTAGCCTCACACCAGGTAACAGGACGGCTGCTTTCATATAACAGGCGGGCCACATGAAGACATCAAACACAAGGCTCCTAGCCTCAGCACAATAAACGTTTGGTCGATGATTCCTTGTTGTTTGTTGAAGGGTGTGTAGCAGCATTCCTAGCCTTGGCCCACTGGATGCATCCCCACCCAGGTTGTGGCAATTAAAAATGTTTTCAGACATTGCCAAGATCGGCATTAGAGGGTGGAGTGAGATTTATGCAACATGGAGAACTAGCCCCAAAGCTCTGGACACTGATTTCCACCTGGCCAAACTGAAGCCAGACCTTTGGTGTGGTTCTGTGAGGTAATGTGCTGGACTGCAAAGTTCTCTGAACAGTAAGGTCCTCAGAAACCCTATAGAGGGTCTCGATGGGTCAAAACCAACTCAAAGGCACTTAGCAACAAGAAGAACGGAAGATAGGAGAAAGACACGTCAGGAAGTGAGAAAATTTAGGAAAATAATAGGCATTTCATTAAAGACAGTCTAGCCAAGATGGATAGTCACACTAGAAACATATTTAATAATGAAAAAATATAAACAGCTCAAGTATCCAAATAAGAGTTAATTAAATACTGGTACATCTTTCAAAGGCCATGCGTACAATAAAAATCATGTTTTACAGGTGTGAGGAAATTTTCACCGTGGAATAAGAGGGAAACATGAAAACTCTCTGCCGGAGTCAATTCTGACTCACGGGGCCCTTCTATAGGGCTTCTGAGAGGGTCAGTCTTGATAGGATAGCCTCATCTTTCTCCTGCAAGGCAGCTGGTGGTTTGGAAACCGCTGACCTTCCGGTTATCAGCTCAATGCTTTCCCTAGAGTTCCACCAGGGGAAAGATTGTTGTTGTTAAGTGTCGTCAAGTTGGTTTCCAGTATAGGGTTTCCGAGGAGCAGCTGGTGAACTTGAACCACCTATCAGCAAACGGACTTTGCAGTCCAGTGCATTAGCCCACAGCACCCCACCAGGACTCCAGGGGAAAGATTAGAAAGCCTTATATAAAGTTCAATGCCAATTTTACAAATAACGTACATGGATATTTATATTCATATATTGCTAAGATAAAAGACTGGATGGAAAGATAAGAGTACTTGTCTTTTGGTGTGTGTTGTGATGGACCAAAATTTTATATGGTTGGTTTTTTTTTTTTTTAATGCTTTATTGTGAACTATGTGATAGTTTACATGGGAAAACATTAGCTTTACATTCATCCTATCATAGATCGTTTCAGTGCCATGGTTACAATCTCCTTCATGCATCATTAACCAACCAAAGGGTATACCCTGCAAGCCTGCCCCCCCGGTTGTCAGCACACAGCCCCTCTCCCTTTCTAGGTCTCAAGTTCCCAGCTGCTCCATCCCTGGTGTCACTGCTTCTCTGGGTAGGGTCCCACACTCCGCTCTTCTCCC